GTGGCTGTTAAGTATGGATTATTATTATTATAATCTTGGTCAACTTTCAATGTATTTTTTCACCTCTGAAAACAATTCCAAAAGCTAACAGTGAGTTTACCATGAGTTCTTCCACATTCTTTCCTATTTTTCAGCGAGCAAAGACTGGGAAGAAGGGTTAGCTAAATTAGCCTGAGCATGGCAATGACACCTCAGGCTCTGGACCTGAAGTCAAACTCTTGCATGGAAGCCAATTGATTAGCTGTAAAAAACTAGACAGATTACTCAACACTACTGGCTTTTAAGTTTTTATTACCTATAGCACTTTCTAATGAATGTGGTTGTACAGACGAATTCAACATTTTCCCCGTTTGAAACAGATTTGTTTTCTTGGCAAGTACAGCAGTGTGTTTGATCTTACATCCAAATTTCCATTGTGTGGTCTGTTTCTTGCGTTTTAAGTTTGTGATTGTTGTCCACTGGGATTTTAACCACACAATATAAAATAAAATGGACACATCATTGAGTATTCAAAGTGTTTCATGAAAGATATTCACATGTCACCTCTAGGCTGCACTACATTGGATATTTTGTGCTTGCTGCCCAGAGCGTTCACATGGTTTTATTCATGATTTCTTGCTGGTGGCATGTTTGTGGAAAACAAGTGGGCTTCATGGTACTACTTCAGGTCAGAATTGACTCTGCATCCCCATGGTGAAAACAAAGGCTCCAACAACTACATAACCTGTTTTTTCTACTGAAGTGCAAAGTGCTATACTGTATATCCCTTTTGACCTTTTGCTTTTTTAAATAATTCCAATACTATAACTCTTTGAATTATTATCCAGTTTTCTCATTATAGATGGTTTCACTCTGTTTTAAAACTGAAAAAAAAATCTGTATCTTAAGGAACAGCCTGAAGATGAACATATTTGCTGAGTTATGAAAAGATTAAAAAATGATGACTAGATAAGGAGAACATAAGCTCAGTACAGGTTGATCTACAGAAGCAGTCCAGCAATCCGCAGGTAGAATCTCCTGAACTGAAGACTAAATCTCATTTGGGAGATTCAGGGGCGTTATGTAGGATTGTCTTGGAAAGCAAGAACCCAAGATGACTGCATATTGTAACCCCTCAAAATCTATGGTGCCTTCAAAACATTTCATCCTCTCCTCATAAGAATGTAAGAAATGGCATTTGGCACATGTAGACCATCTGCTGGTTGGTATCTAATTAATATCTAATTAATCCTGTGTTCCTAGGGTACCAGCTTCATCAGCATCAATGGACTGCTTGTTCCACACTCCAACAGCCCTTTGCATAAAGATGTGCTGCCTACACTCTGTTTTATTTGCCCTTCCACATTTCTTTCTATTAGAGGTGTCTGGTTTGGTTTTCAGTGTTGATTCTGTGAAGGTACAATGGGTTGACGTGATCAATTAATTAAATCCTTTCTAACTGAATTTTGGATAATTGATCAGGTTCACTTTGTGGAACATCAGCATTTTATTTTCTTTTATTGTGGTGACCAAAATAATACACAGTATTCTAAATGAGATCTTATCAAGTGGCATGCTCAAGCTCAGTGTTCTGCATTTTATGTGTTTATAGTTTGTTTTTCTATCTGCAAATAATAATAATTCTGTATTTGGTAACATTAAACTGCATATGCCCTTGTTTGCCCAGTGCTGAATTTTATCTCTTTGAATGTTGTTTGCTACTTCTACAATGTTTGGTAATCTTCCTATTTTGGTATTCTTTGCAAACTTGACTAGTTTAATAACTATACCAGAAATCTATTGTATATCATTGGTATAAATTAGGAAATGCAATTGTCTTCATACATACTGCATTCCCCTAATTTCTGACCACCTGTAATTTGAGAATCAATCTTTACAAAAGAGAAGAACTTTACAAAAACCTTCTTTAAACACTAGATACACCATGTTATACGGTCTATATGCTTCTAACCATTCTTTCTTTTAATCTCACTTGTAATAGAAGTCAGACTAATAGGTCCATAATTACTTGGCTCAGGTTTGTGAATCATTTATGAAAGAACATTAGCAGTTCTCCAGGTCATTCTTACTGCACCATCTTATGTGACTGTTATCTTGCCATCTCCTCTGTTAGAGACGAATGCCAACGCTGTTAGAGATGAAAAAAAAACTAAAGTAATGCACTAACTTTGTGCAAATGTGATATTATAATGCTTTGGACAACTGGTTCCTATCCCAGCAAGCAACAGGTGCAAGACAGGATACACCCTAGATGTGTCCATCACAGGCCACACACACACACACACACAGACACACACACTCACGCCACGGCATGTCTTCCCAGAAGCCCATTAACCTAAAAGTCTTTGGACTGTGGGAGGAAACCGGAGCACCCAGAAGAAATCCCTGCAAATACGAGGAGAACATACAAACAGCACCCCAGGAACTGATCCCAGGGCCCCAGAGCTGGGAGACAGCTCCCCTTATCATGTCCTCGGATCAAATTCTCCATTAGAAGCTACTTTGTTTAGATCGTTTGCAGAGCATTTTCATCAAACTGGGCACACCAAACAAACATTTATACACTAATGCTTTTACTGCCTTCTGTCACTAGAATCTGGAATAGTGGAAAGGCGAAGACCTGTAGCAAAGATGTATTATATCGGGTGATTTTTTTAGTTTCATTTTTTGTGCTTTAAGTATTTTAAGGAATTTTTAAATTGCAAACACACATGTTCAAGGAGGTTCTCAGAGGTCCTGGAACGCAGATAGTCTGGAATTAAGCACAAGGTGACAGGCTCAATCCTGCAGTAGTCATTATCAGACAGCTACCAGACAGACATGATTCTTAACAATTTTTTTCTTATTGTTACTCAAGTGCATCTATTTAGAAAATATTGTTCTTTTTACCTCACTGTATTTCTCCAGAAACATCTCCATTATTTATTGCTAGCCAGCATGCTGATTAGTAATATGGAGACATGCACAGAGTGTCTGGCAGAGTATGTTCATTAATTCATTCATTAATTTGGTTAATTTGTAAAATATCCAGTAAACCCTGTGACACTGAATTGGAAGAAACGGTTAGAAGATGGCTGGATGGATTTCCAGTCAAGAAGTACAATGAAAAACACAATGACAACAAGGATACAGCCTGTGATTTGTATCGAAGATGGAGGAGAGCAGTGCACATCTTTCATGGCTTTACCTCACAGATCTTTTTGAATCGAAAGAGGTCAAAGGATTGCACCTTAAATGCCATCTTTGCTTACAAGGCAGTGGAAGTATCAATCTTCATCACCTCGCCATCAAATTTCAAGAGCAACGCAGAGGTATGTACAAGAGTCTTTCTCTCCAGCTATTTGATTCCATTTAGCTGACTGTCTGTGCTTGGACTGATATAGTGTCTTGCAGCTCTGTAGCTAAGAGTTACCACCTGGCCCCACAATCCCTAGACACTTTGAAATAACAAGATTTTAAATTCACCCTAAACTGAAATGAACTAATGTGTGAAACTGAACCTTTACTGAACTGTTATTGCTACTTACTTACTGTGCTGGGGCTGACAGTACGAAAGTTATAACATTAAAAGTATGCGGATGAATGTGAGTTTTTGTTTTACTTGATTGTTTGCAGTTGTCCATTTTTAGGTGCCGTGCCTCAATTAAAATCTGAGTGTCAGTGGCACAGCAATAAAAGGAACAGAGATGATTTCATTAACGGGCTGTGCAAATCAGGACAGTAGCACGAAGACGAGACGAGTGGGAATACTGATGGCTACAAATGACATGTAGATTCTCATAAAACTGGAAAAATATTTGATATGTGTTTTATTTCAAAAGAAAACCATTGTAATGTCATAACTCACAAGGTAACTGCAGTACCACTTAAGTAAAGCAACCTTCTCTCTTAAAGTGTCAGGGGATTTTGGAGCCAGGTAACAGCTCAACTAGTCATAGATGCCATTTACATTTTACTGTGTACTGTCGTCATTACACCGAGTGGTGTTGACTAATAATTGATATGTAACACTGTTTTCTTGGCAGAGAAACCATCAGTCGGCAGTCCAGGATTCTGAGTGCTCAAGCGCATGAGGGAAGGTGGGGGTCTGGGTCCACAGTCAAGAAGACCAACCCTGACACTGACGGCGAGTGTTGCCGGCCACAGCGGGCGTGGTGCTGCTGAAGTACAGCAGTGTCCACGTGACGATAAGAAGCTTTGTTGGCAAAGTTCTCAAGGACGAAAAGTTCTTGGTAGACGTCATTTTACTGACATAGTGCAGTCACTGGATCCAGGAACAAGGATGATGTCACCATCAAAAAGGTAAGAAAGTAATTAAGCAATCCAGCCCATTTCTGTGGTGTGTGGCCTACCATGTGAAGTGATGTATTCTGAGCCAAAGACCAGGTTTTCAATGAAATTCAAGGTCATCCATCACATGGCAGAATCTTCAGGAGGGGTTGATTGCTTTCAGAAATAATTTCAATCATTCAAAAGAATAATTTCAAAAATAATAACTTCAAAAACCTTTAAACATTTGTTATCTTTAACTTGTAATATGTTTTCCAGTATGCATGTAGACTGTATAAGGAAAGAAGTTACAGAGTACTCTTGGGTGGCATGGTGGTGCAGTGGTTAGCAGTTTGAGTTCACATGGCCTCCCACAGTCCACAGACCAGCTGGTAATGACCGAGGAGGCCCTGGCGTGAGTCTGTGTGAGTCAGTGATGGACTGGGATAGGCTCCAGCTCCACTGAGATCCTGAACTCGAAGAAACAGGGAGAAACTGAATGGATGGAAAATGTTGCTACTGGAGTTTTAGCTTCAGGTGATATGGTCTTTTCTAAGTATACTTAAGTAAATAAGCATGAATAATTATAAATACTACTTTACATGCAGATTTAAAATTCTATTCACAAGTAAAGTTCTATTGGGCATATAAAAATTAGAGACGATTGGCAGGATGTTTAGCTAATGACAACCATTTTCTAACTGTTTATTTAGTTTCATAATGTTCTTCATTCTGTGTTTGTAACAAGAGCGTTACTTTCCAGTTCCCAGCAGGGCTATAATGTGTTTACTTTCTGGTGCAGGTCTGGACCCTGTCTGTGTGCCCTTGAGCTGCAGTCTCCAGTGAAGAGCACGGTTTTTCTGTGAAGACCTCTTCCACACAAGGCTACTCTTCAGCCCACAGCACGGGTCTGGTGAGGTACTCACTCGTGGCCAGAGAGATGTCTTTTGGGCCCACACTCCTCTGTCGCTCTTCAGGGTTGCAGGACTCTCACGACTGAAGCTGAACAGCAGGTTCTGGAAATAGCAATTAGGAAAAATTATGAATTTTTCAATATGAAAGGTAATAAATATTTGACACGTTTATTGTGGCTTATTGTCTTGTCTAAGCCTTCTTTATAAAGAACAGGAACTCACAATTTTAAAACTTGAACCTAGAATTGTTTTATGAAGTATTATAGATAAAGGGTTTGAACTTCATCTAAATCCCATTCTTCATCTAAATCACATACGATAAATCGTATGTAACTCAAGGTATCTGCAGACTTCTATGTATAGAATTTAAAGAGATGTAAGAGACTTCTAGAGAGATTGCTTAATGCTTTTATACGGTAGTAGTTTTTGTGATTTATTCAAACGGATTTTACTTTTTTAATTTTCTAAAAGGACATTGACCTAACTGCATTTTTCCCAACATAACTACTTTCATGGAGCCTGAACTCTTTTTACACATCTCCTGCCAGGTTGCACTGCTGGCTGGGACATGTGCTCAGTTCATGTGTGCAGTATTTCTGTACTAGAAGTATCTGAGTGGAGCCCACAAAGCTTCAGGGGTGGCCTGGTCAGAAAGGTGATCCCCCTCACCAATGCCTGAGGCCTGCAGACACACAGTCACGTATGGTTTGCAATATGGGGTGGTGGTTAGCCCACAGGGTCCTCAGGTCATTCACTGTTTTGGGTACCTATTTGTATGGAGTTTGCATGTTCTCCCACCTCCAACAGACAAGCCTGACATTTGGCTTGATAGGGCACTGCTCTGAGCCACTCTGCCCCCTCAGGGTGTACGGGTCAAATGACCACTTTGCATGTGTAACCTTTGTCAAACAGATGGTCTCTTCTCTTCATTACCCATCCTGATGACCGACAGTAGCAGTAGCTAGTGCCTTGCTTCCCTGTGTTCACCCTGTGACCCATGTTCACAGGGTCTGTGACTGCATATTTGACTTACAGTGCTCATACTGTACTTAGCTATAAGGGCAAGAGGTGCATGATGTCTTTCCTGCTGATATAGTAGTCAAAAGAGATTGTTCCCTCAGCAAAAATAGTCTGTCTTTGTCTGCTCCCTGCTTTAATTTTCGGTCAGTTAACAACCAACTGAAGTTCTCTGTACCTCTTGTTTACAAATACTGTACAAACACATTGGGTACCTTATCATATACTGTATTTTAACATTAACTGTGGAAATTGTATTATTGTAGATAATACATTGCGTTGTTATTAATAGATTTAACATAAAATATTTATAAATACTTATAAATATCTAAATACTTTTTAATAGCCTACTTATTCAGGTTCTCTTCACTTAGCTTATATATGATTTCACTACTTTGCAATATGTTTATGGAAATTAAAATGCACGTTTCTATCAAGCATTCAACCATCACATCTGTGTGCCTATAGCAGAAATCCACGTGTGTACAATTTCAGTAACTGAGTACAGGTGTTGCATGTGGATGTCTTGGAGCATTTTTGCATTTCATCTCTCATTTTAATAGAAATTTCTCTATATACGTCTATATAGATAATAACATGAGAACTCATTTTTAACAGGTACAACAAATGTAGCCTAGCCAATGATACATTATAAGATGCATTATTGTTCCTGAGAAAAGATATCTCGAAATTGCATTTAACTTGTGACTTTTATTATATTTCAACGTTTTTATCATACCTCAGCTCACTGTTGCTTTCAAATTAAGATTCCTAAATTAGCATTTTCCAAAATTTTTAAGCTTTCAATTTAAGTAAAACCCAAGATCTGCCTCCAAGAAAATGTAGATGTAGAATTCATTCTGCTAGCATGCCCTCTAGGAGTGCTCGTTTTGTCCTGCATTTAAACAATTTGCACTGTAAACCCACAACTTTAACTTACATACCAGGAAACAACAGCCAATTGTTTTCTTCCATCAATTAGACAAACAGCTGCTCACTTTTAAAATTCCTTCTTAAACGGATTCCATCATTTTGAGGAGGCCAAAGACAGAATCCTATTCCCTAAAATGTCCCGTTCATCTTCTGAATGGTAAACCCAGCTTTCCCACAGTATGACAAAGATCAGGATCATGGAAAAGGGTACTCCCTGTTTTTTGTCATCATTTCTTCCTTCTCCACTTTATCTCACTGTGCTTCCCTAAGAAACTCGCATTTCTTCTCACACAGGAACTGCTGTACTGTATTTGTTCAGATGCCTTCCTGTAGCAGTGTTGTCTACTTTCTGAAACATCCAACATTGTAAACAAACCATTCTATTGCTTTTTTTTAAACGTTATTGCTTCTGGCGTTTATTACCAGGCTACACTGAATGAGTTCTTTATTTCCAAATGCAATTTGCTGAAGCTTTATCACAGGTTAAGGCAGGTAATTTACTACATGTTCTCTTTTCTTGTGAGAGAAGGGCAGCCCATGAAAAATCTGGGCACGGTGCTCCCTGTTATCCAGTAATGGCTCATCTGTAGGTTATTTTCTGATACCCATGGTGCTATGAATCTACTTTTCCACCTCCAGCTAACAAGACTCGTAATCCCAGCACCACCTAACGCATGCGAAGTTGCTCATGAAGAAACACAATAAATGAGACCCCCGTGCTCAAAATGAAGGTTTTCATTACTTCACAAAATGAATTTGGCTTGATTATGGGGAGTGTTCTCCCTCTTTGTGCACACCCCTAATCTGCAGGTTAAAGATTACAGTCTTAACTAACGGGGAATATACACATATAAAGTTGCTTACAATTAATAAATATTTCCACAATACCTAATAGAAAAAGACAACTCAGTGGTTCTGCAGTAATGCTTTTTTATAGTTCGGTATGCCGTGCATAAATTTAGCTTACTCTGAAATTGCAAATGATTGTGATCAATATGCAAGTTTACAGATTTGGTTAACAAGTAGAATACTGTTTAGGGAAATGTTTTAGACGGAATAAATGTGTGTTATTATCATCTATATGAAGTAAAAGAATGCTTTAGGCACCCATGGTTGATAGATTTAAAAAAATAAATCTTCACAGCCTGTAACTGTCCGACCTGGTGCCACACCTTGTCTCTTCCTCTCAGCATGGAATAAACCTTCACATTGCATCACCACTTCCTGTGGCTCATTCATGTCCATCCTCTTGATTAAATCTCGGTTATCTGAATGGTTCAGTCCAGGACTTTCTTTACTAATTGTGCCTTTACAGAATATATTGAGAAACACTCATTAATCATTCAACTGTCACAATTTCAGCTTCGACTGTACAGTGGCAACAGAACAATATCCTACACTAATAATTTATGTGTGGCAAATTGAAATCATGTTGAAATCCCTCCTCACTGACTAAGCTACTTGCACCCATGTTCATTAGGTGGCCTGTAACGTCAAGTAAAGTTACAGTACAACCTTTGAAGTTTTGTTTTCTACGTTAGCCCATGTAGATTGTACACTGTCTCTCTTGTCTCTTTTCTTTAGCTTAAAGAGTATTTTTGATAAACTTGTATAGTACATCAGTACTCCTGAGGTATTTTACTATGTACCCTACTGCTTCTAGCTTTGAGGTATAGTATAAACATTTAAGAATTTATGTTATTTGTCTTAAGTTTGTTATTAGTTTTGCCCATTGATAGTTTTCTCCCATTAACAATTCCTTTTTTCCCTGCCAGTTTCTTTATGAAATAGTCCTCTAGTCCAAGCGCAGCCCATGCTCTAGAAAGGACTGTAATCGAAGTTCGTTAATGGCTTGAACATCTTCCTGAGTTCTGTTTAGCAGACTTACTGTGTGTCAGATGTATTACAAGAGTGTCCCTTCTTTCACCTGCATAATACTGCTCTTTATGACTTTTGAGCACCCAGTTGGATGTTGAGAAAGTGGTTCATGCCTTTATTTTCTCGAGACTGGATGACTGTAATGTAGTGCTTGCTGGCACGTCTAAGTGCTCTCGCAATATCTGTTATAATGTGCATGAAGTAGACATCAGCATGTTGAAGAATCAGCTGCTATAATTGGAACCAGAATCAGCAAAGGAAGAAAAGAACCTAAAGAAACAAGTGAACACTATGTAAAAGTGCACTTACAACTGAGAAGAGGCGGCACTTCTTGTTATAAAGGGTTTGTGAGAGTGTGGAACAAGCTACCCAGCCACGTTGTTGAAGCCGATACCCTGAGATCTTCAGGTCGACCATCACACTAGCTCGATAGGCTGGAAGTCTTTGTGCTTCCAGCCTATCTTCAATCTTCCAATGTGCTTCCAGCATTATGAAATCCTTCCAAAATGCTGCCTCTCGGCTCCAGGACCCTGGGTTTCATCGTGGCCTTTGACACCTGTCCGGGCAGTATTTCCATATTCTCCCTGAGTTTGCATGAGTTTGTGCGAGGTGCTACAGTTTCCTTCCAAAAGCACGCAGGTTTTATGAGCTGTGTCCCTCTGGAATTTATGCCAAGGAAGAAGGGGGCCGGGTATCTCCAACACTACTCCCCCACGAATGGGGAGACTTTGTTGCTGCTCTCTCACCCTCGCAAACAGTCCCGGTTATGGGCACTCTATCAGATAGGGAGCACAGTTTTGCTTTTGTTTATCTGTTAGTTAAATGTGCTTTTTAGGAGTTTGTACATGTTTTGTAATGGTGCTTGTTTGCAGGTTGGTGCAGGGAAAGGCTCACTGGTTCTGACTGCGAGCTGCAGTGGTGCCAGTGAGGACAGGGGGGATGGGAAACGAGCAGATGCTTTGGCTCTTGTTATCTGCTTACCAGGATCAACTATTTAGCAGCTGGCTCCATCTGTCAGTTACTTCCGCTGCCCACCCGCTCCTGAGGAGCAGCAGGTATATTAGCTGCATCTGCACCTGTCACTTCATGTGTCAGTCACTCTGGGGGCAGGAGAGGACGCAGCTCATTGGCAGCTGCAGCCGTCAGTCATCTCTCCACCCCACCCTGCCCTTCGCTGCCAAACGCAGCTGTCAAATTACTGCCGTGCTTCCGTCTCGCAGCGACGCTTCACAGCACGGCTGCCAGGAGCTCCTGGGGCTACAGGCGGAGGCCCAAAACACAACCTGAAATGAAATAAAAGGCAACAGTAACAGTCAACACATCAAGTCATGCAATTTCATAGACTCAGGTTTTGCCTTTTGCCTCATGTGCTTGCTTTATTTCAGGATGTAAGTGACACACCATACAGACTGGGTTGTTACCTGTGAACCGGAACTTGATCTGTTTTGAGGGCGGTGGTTACGGTCTTTCTCACACAGAAAGAGGTGTTGCAAACTGTTTTGAATAGATTTCATTGGAAAAACGTATCATGTCAACTGCCAGTTAGAATCAGGAATTCAGAAAGCCTTTTACATCATTTATAACTTTTTTTCTTTAGTAAAGCATAAAATACTGGTTCAAATAAACAATGCAGCAGGCAGTGCTATATCATTAATTTAAATGTGAAAGTACTGAAATGAAATTAGACCAATTAGCCCAATATGTATTAATAGCAAATGTTTCCCATCTAAATCAAGATCCTCATGTCTTTTAATAGATGTGCAGTGTCAGTACCCTGAAGACCAACTCTACAACAGAGACTGTTGAATTCTGAAATTTGCTTATTTTATTCGGTTGATCTGGGTCTTTAACATCAGCAAGTAAATAGCTCAGTATGTTTAAGTAGCAAGGGTTAATGACCCTGTTACATCTTCATGATATAATTCCTTAGGAAGTCCAACAACATTGAATTCTCCCTCTGCAGGAGGCCTGGCTTTTCAGTGTAGTGACATTCAGCATTGTCTGAGGAAACACTGTAAGAGGTGGAGCTGAGAGTTTCCTGAGAGGCTCTGAATGAATCCTAGCAGAGGAAGAGCTGCACACACTATGTGAGCTGCCAAGACTCGGATCAAAGAGACAAATGATTATCAGCCACTGGGGCTGTAGAGGAGGAATGTATAGGGGGAGAGTGTAATAGGAGCCGGTTACAAGGTGACATAATCCCCTATGAAACTGGAAGGTGTTGAATTCTTCAACGTTAAGAGACTCAGCATTTTGACATTGCAGAAGCTCACAGCTTGGAACTGGAAGCTTTCTTATGTACTATGATTGATTCTCAGCAGTTGAAAGTAAATTTGGGATCTAAAATGAGTAATCCTGTAGCTTTATAAATTATTTAGCTGTGTTAACATATTCCGACTCATAACTCCCAGATTTCAATATATTGCTTTATTTTACACAAGAGAAAGGTTACAAACTAGAGAAAGCCATCTGGCCCATCAAGCCTCTATGGTTTTTAGTCGCTAATTGATCCAAGGAAATTAATCAGTCTTCAACCACATGGCTGGGTAGCTTGTTTCACACCCTTTTCAGTTAGCTGTTTCCATAAACAACTTGGGTAAAGAAGTGCTTTATTGGAATTTGGGAGATACGAGTTACATAAAATATCAATATTTATTGTGGGCTGTGATTTTTTTACTTCATGTTTGAAGTTCATCCTAAATCACTTCATAGATTTCTGTGATCCTAAACCGTACATATCACTAACTCTAAGGTTCATTCTAAATGTATGCCAATGCTAACCCTTCCCAATTTTAGGTCTTGAAGTAGCCAGGAGCCCAGCGTAAACAAATAAGGATTTAGAAGTCCGAAGTTAAGTCCAACCTGCCATTTGAATGTCTTAATAAACCAAGGTTATGTTACACCCATGGAAGTGAAAGTTCTGATTTAAAAATTGGAATATTCTTTGACCCTTAACTTTTACAGTCATCTAAATTTACCTTAATTTAACATATATTACTTCACCACACATTAAGAATAAAGATTTATATAAAGAATACTAATACATGCTAATATTTCTTTAAGAGCAATAGGAATATGGTTAAGGACTTGCATAAGGGTATGAAGTTTGCAGTTTACATCTGACTTCACTGCTCAAGGCCATATCCAGACACCAGATATCATTTGAGTTGTCTGCCTACATGCAGATGAGCATAAAGCAGTTAAACACTGATGATCAAAGTGGGGGTTACTGGTTTATCTGGTTAATTTACTTCATGGGAAATCATTATAGCCTTCACAGAAACATAGCATAAAAAGGACAAAGGCAACAGACAGGAAACAGAGAGAAACATAAGGAGGAGAGAGAGAGAAGAAGGAACACCATCCTCTTGCTCTAATCTTCAGCCCTGCAAGAGGACCATGCTCTGAACAGTCTTGGAGACCCGATTCTGGTCTCATTTAGTCCACCCTGGAACCAAAACAATTCTAATTTTATCTCATCAAACCACAAACCCTATAGTACCATATAAAGGCTTTATTGCAGACTATGGGGTTTTCAATAGATACAGGACATCCTTGAGGAGAAACTGTGGACGAGGAGAAAGAACTGTATTAACATGAACCTGTCCCCAACACGCTTGACTGTAGGGATGGTATTGACTCATGTGAGTGAGAAACAATGTCACTTGTAACGCTGTGCCTTTAGACTAAAATGTTCCTGACAAAACCTTTTGACTTTGCAGTTTCACTTGCTTAATGCTTTATTGCGAACTTCATATGGGCTTTGAGATGGATTTTCCACTGGAATATCTTTAGCGCTTATACTGTCACCATTGGCCCCACAGGCCTGACCAGTTTCTTTCTCGCCCAGCTGCTCAGTTTAAAAGGACAGCCTGATCAAGGCGTTTTCTGAGTGGTATAATACACCTTCCACTTCTTAGTGGCCCAGAGCAGTATTCTGTGCTCCAGATCTGTGCCTTTCTGCAACATTATTTCTGAGTTGTTTTGAAAGTACTTTGATCTTCATGGTTGAATCTTTGTTTGAAATGTACTACCTGACTGAGAGACCTTACAGAGACAGGTGCATTTTCTTCAGAACTCATGTGAACCACTATTATTATATACCTTACTTAAAGACTGAGGCCATTCTTGTGACCTTTCCATTAACTTAAGGTTAATTTAGGTTCACTGTAGCATTGTGGTTGAAATTAGCATATTTGAGGTTTTTATGTTTCTTTCCTTTTTTCTCACTTAACATATGAAAGTGTTCAGATAGAGCATTCAAGTTTTGATTACAAAATGTTCCTTTTAAAAAAAAATCTGTACACATAATCTGTACTTCAACAAGATGAAGCACTACAGGTAAACAGTTTTAGAACCATTGTCTTACATGTGTACGTTTTTTGTGTTATGAAATAAAAAGTGTGACGAGGATTTTTCTAACAGCATTCACAGAGTAGTAGTGAAATCCTATTTCTGCAGAGTTAAGAACTTACATTTAACTATGTTACCTGAAAAGCGCTGATTACCTACAGTTTTACTCATACAGGAAGTCCAGAGGGAGGTTAATTGGGGAGATGTATGTCTTTATTATTCTTTGAGAATTCAGTGCAAATTTGTGATCTTAAATTGAGTTTAAACATGGTATCCTTTTCAAGACGTAAAGTAGAGTCATTGTGTGTTCTGATGTAGAAGTATTACATAATCAAAAACATGGTTAAAAGCACAGGATTAGCACATTACCATAAAATCTTTCCTTTGTAACAGAGGATATTGTCAGAAAGTGTGTTCTTTTTCTTGTAGTAAATTCAAGGACCTTTCATGAGTGTAAACAAGAAAAGACAGTTGTTGACTCCACCTTATCTGACTTTAAGACTCAAGAAGCAGACAAAATTCAAGCCTTAACTAGAAAGTCTTTATTCTACCCTATTAGATTATAAGATATAGAGAAAAACACAGCCTAATAAACTGCAAAATGGTGAGTGGGCCCAGGTGGCCCCCAGTGATGTGGCCTAAGATAATGGTTTGGAAAGAGCAGAGACTGGGGCATCATCTCTCCCAACCTGAGGCACTGGCCTCCCCATTTGGGTCTTTGTTTCTAATACAGCTCTAATTCTGACCTGCTAAACTGATGTATATCCAGAAGCCTTGTGTATGTGCACTGCAGGGGACCCAGAAATCAAAGCTGAGCTTGAAGAAGGGCAGAGAAAGGGCTGCTTTTGTAACATATGCTGATGGCATCTGATGTGAGAATTCTGCTGGATGAGTCTCTGCAGTACTGCAAAGCGCACTGATTGATCTTGAAGAATTCACGGGTTTCTCATGCTGCAGAGAGCAGCTAGCATTCTGCCTGCTAAATTGTGGAGCCGAGAATCGTTTCAGCTATTTCTGATTAATATTTAGATCAAATAATAACCTTTTTTTAAAAGGGATACTGTTTAATGAGTGCATAAAATAAATTGTTATTCTATCTCGCAGCCAAAAATTCAGAAACATCTTAAAAAGGAAGAAACGACTGATAAGGATGTTAATTTTTTTGCAAGCAGAGTTTAATTATAAACTAGCCAACTCGTTAATTTAAAACTGTTAGTGTCCACTGGAAAAAAATGGCAGTGTATTGATATTTATTAACATACGATACAGCTGTCGGTGGAGCTACTAAAAAGCATTTGACATTTTCTGTGGAAAGAATCGGAAATATACGTTGCCCTGAAAGATTTCTAAGCCAGCCCTCAGACGTTGCAAGACTAAATGCAAGTCTTGGTCATTCCCTTGGCAAATTGACTGCAAACAACCCAGAGCATTTCAGCTGAGGAGCCATATGGATATTAAAATAAAGTTCACTCCCTCAGAAAGTGAAGAAAACATGAGGTCAAAAGCTGCGAAAAGCTGCTGGCTGCTGGGCATAAGGCCCGGGCCTCTGATACAGTCCCCAGCAAGCTGCCCTTCCTGCTCAGAGGGGTCTCAACCCTGTCCAGGAAGGTAGCCGAAGCCCGTTTCCACAACTGACTGGGCGCCAGGGTTCAGTTCACACTGCCTTTTAAAAATACAATTAAAAATGCCTAAAAAAAAACATTTCTTGAATGGGAAAAAAGAATTCTGCATCACGGAAGAAATAACACATTAATAATACATTTGTTTTGTGAGTAACATGTTTACGTGATTAAAGGCAACTATGATTTTAATGTATTTAATTTTTAGTGAAATAAGTGTGTTTAAACTCATCATAGCATAACAAAGAATTATCAAACTATAAATAATACAAAACAAAAATATATAATAATATAATGTGCAGGATGAGGGCAACGTCTACATAGAATCAGTGCAAAAAATAAAGTGAATAATTTATGATTTTCTGGAGCAACAAAATTGAAACACAATGTGAATGTTTGCAGTGGCATCTCTGTTATTAGGAAAGGTGCTCTTCAGTTTGTTACTTGAATATTTCTTGTTTACAGCTTCTTGTTTGGGCTTTATGATTACATTCTGTCTACATTCTTCAGACTGTTTACTGTTCAGCCTGTTTTAAATACAGAAGAACTACATTTATAGCACAGGCATACTTTCCTGTTCTTCACTATTGTCCTCCAGATTATCTTTAGCTCTTAATAAGGTCTTCACAAGCACGCTGGCACGAAGCATTTATGCCGATCCACGTTTCTGTGGCTGTGACCCGCTGTCCTTCTCCGCCTGCATACACAGTACAGCACCTATGCAGGACAACTCAGACATGCCAATGACCCTAGACAGAAAGGCTGAGAAACTGTAGCTCCCAGAGAAGTCCCCCACATTGTGGAGAGGAGCATGCAAACTCCCCAGAGACGACCCAGCAGGCCGGAATCCCACCTGGCAGCCCAGAGCTGCAGTATGAGGCAGCAGCACTAACCAAGCCCACCGCCGTGCTGGCCGCCAGTATTCAAGACTTTCTCCATTTCTTTCCTTCTCTGATATTTCAGAAAGTAATGGCTAACAGCAACAGCCTGGCATGGCAACGTCGGCCAGTGACACTGAAACTCCTTCTACCACCTTTGAGAAAGATGCCTCCTCTGGAGACAGAAAGGGCAGGCAGCAGCGTCTCCACGGCTGCCCCTGCGTGTGGACATGCGCTTAGGAGATCCGGATCCATGTGCTGGATATACAGCAACATCCCGCAGGTGAGTAGAAAAGGCGCTTTATCCTCTGGATATTCTTGAACTAAAGGGTTAATGGGATTCAGGGCTGTTTGTGTCCTCGTGTTTAATTTAATTCAGTTAACGGTGATACAGAGCTACAGTAGGTTTGCTCATGTCTCCCAAATACTGAGCATGTGACTTTGGCTTCCTTAAATTAAAACAGTCACTGCACAGCATGCATTCTATGAGTTCTGGTTTTAATGATTATAATAATTATTTTGACCCGGCAAATGCTTCGGATTGATGTAGTTATATCACCAGACAAAGTATCACATCAAACAGTAGGGAAAACGTATTACTACAGTGAAGCACAGTGTGAGCAGCAAGACAGGGGAAAAACACAGGACTCAATCAAAAGTAAAGTTAAAGCTGTTTTCAGAGAAGAATTCTTCACATTAGAAAAGTGACAATGTATGCTTTGAAAATATTTTCCAAATCTAGGAATTGTCTATAACCTCCTGCAAGTCCCTGGCCAACTTGCTGTGCTGACAGGCATCAGCTGCATCAGTGTGTTATTCATAACGAGGAACAGCTGTCTGACAATCATGTCCCTGGGATCCAGCCTTCTGTACCTCCTTTTTAGTTTTTGGGCTCGTGGAGCTTTCACAAACAAGCCTTTTTAAATACTCATATTGAATGAGTCAATATCCTGTTGGTGGCTTTGTAGCAGGAGCTGCTCAAAGTTGTCATCGGATTGAAGAGTAAACTCTAGCAGTGACGGGACAGGTTATGAGGGTGATGAATGATCCAAGACACTTTCCCTGCAAATGAATTCTGTCCTGATCAGATTGCTAGTCGGTGTTGAAGTGGACAGATTTGAAAAAGGAAAGCTGATAGATTTGCTTGAGAGATAGCTAGCTATGATCTTTTGACCAAGTGACTCATGCAGTCACTATTTCTTCCATTTCAGTTTATTGTAGGTAATATATTGTTTCTCTAACCACAGAGAATTACACTGTACATCGACCTTTATATTCCAGCATCACTAAAAAGATTGGCATAACACAGCCTGGACAGAGCTTGGCAGGGATACAAAAGAATAGCTGTTTTTCATAAGGACCCTGAAAATGCTTTTAGAATTCTATTAACTTGAGGAGTAATTATGTACAGCATGTGGGAGGGAGATTTCAAACTCAGAGTCAGCTTGGTTGCATGGCATCTTCTTCAAAGCTCTGTAAACATTCTGAAACATTCGAGACCGTCCCAGTAATAAGGAGTAAGGAGTGAGTCTGGGGCCCAGGTCTCTCACAAACGAGCAGCTACTCCTGCCAGCCACATACTGACCTGAGCCCCCTTCAACACTAAGCTGAATGTATTAGATACAGCCTCCTTTATTACCCCTTTATTAGCATAATCATGTAAGAATTATGTAGACAGAGGAAGCAGTCTTAAAAGGTAAAATATATGAAACTGTAGAATCAAACAATCTTAAAGATCTTAAAATAATTAAAGAATCTTAAAATGGGGATTCTCAATAGTATACAATTCCCTTGTATACTAATTGTAATTTTAGACTATGTCTTAGTTTATATGAAATTAAATGTACACTTTTGTATCTTTTGTGTTGTTTGGAATGCACTATGCGAGCAAGCACGTACTGTAGCTTTTGGGATACACAATAATGTTAGTAAGATTTAATCTGCTTCTTTCCTGCATTTTCACATGTAAAAAACACATCACAACATGATGTTTAGATATTTTTTCTCAATAGTTATTGATTTGCACTGACCAAATTCAGACATCTTGCTTTTGGTTATGGATTCTGATAAAGCAATATGTTTGTCTTTGCTCTCTGTAAATTATTTGTTTTTTCCTTTCTTATCTTAGTCCTAAAAATGACTCATGTAAACTGATGCTATCTGGCCAGCTAAACACAATAATAGTTTTCTGCATTCCAGCAAGCTTTGAACTTTGTACAGTTTAGACTGGAGATTGCATCCCTAATTGTTTGCAGGTGTGCAGTTCATAGAGCAGGCAGGTTTAGCATTTACAATCCTGGGATAAAGTCATAGAGTATGGTGCCAGTGAGCTACAGGAAACAATTTATCACTGTTGCTGTTTATAGACAGTAGAATAAAAGAGAGAAGTTATTATTTTCAATAAACGTTTTCCTATTTAACCTGACAATTACTTATTTCTAGTAAATATAAAAATAAAATAAATGTGTTTATAAAAATATAGTATGAAACATATACAATATACAAGAAATGTTTTTCACTAATTGTGCTATTCACCACAAACGTTCAAATCAACATTAAGGAAGTATACTCCATTGTCTAAACCAGACGTAAAAGAAATACTTCTTAGATTTGAATCAGTTGAATCAGTTTTTGCAAAGGTGTATCATTGTATCAATTTCTGATGATGATTTATAGTACAGACCTTCATTTTAAAGAAGGTCCCCGGACGGCTTTAACCAAAAAAATAGTACTCAGGTATTTTGAAAATTTGTGGTAATTGTGTTCATTTTTAAATTGTTGTTAAAACCTCTATGAATATTTCATGTGGTAAAATTTCATATTGGGATAAATTAACTTTACCAAATGACAGGCCTCTTCCTGGGCACTGTATCATTATAGGAACACAGGAGCTAAGAAACATCCAAATCAACTGTATCATGAGAAGAGCAGAAGCTGATGGGCTGATCAGAATTTGGTGATGTCGTTTATGTCCATCAGGAAAGTCCAAATGTTAGCATATAGAAATAGATAGAAACCCATAGCACTCATACAGCAAATAGATCATCCAAAAAACCTCAATGTTCAGCGCACCAAGAGAACTTCCAGCCCACTCTCCTTAATAACCCTGGAACACCATCACCAATGTTCTCTCTGAGATTTTTAACATGAAGTAGCAGTCAGGGTCTTCAGTGATGATGCCCTGATTATCTAGCAGGCCTGATACATACCTACTGAAACAACCACTGTTCCAATTGTTCACCTGAGGAGAAATGAAATGGGAGTCCCACATAAACAGTTCAAAACCTCCTTAGGATAAACTTCAAGAGATGTAGCTGACAACACACCACTGGCAGCAGCCTTATACAATCAGGATGAAATAGGAGCTTGCCGGAGCAGAAAAGACGACTTTTCAGGAAAATCACCAAACTCATGTCCCAGAATAACACCAATAAAGAAAGAACAGACAACTGATAATCAGCAGACATGGCCCAGCCCTGCTTTCCAACGTCAGTATTTCGACGTTAGACAATAATTCTGCAGCTGATGAACTGGCCTCATTCAACAGATAGGACACAGGTTGTATAAAATGTACAAAAAAGATCATTCTTGATCAAAAAAGATAGAGATTACAGAAACCACCTGCCTGTGCAACTCTCTATTGACTACTTTGTCATCTTTAAGCAAAGTGAAATATGCAGCTTAGTGCAAAGCATGATGAACATCTTATGGTCTTTTTATCTTCAGAAGAAACCTCAGTCTCTCTGGTTTTCTCCAGCCTGAATATATTTTATGGATCATATGCTATAAATTCATTCCATTTCAGCCATTATGTACAGTACACGCATTTTATGATAGCAATTCTGTTACAAGGAATTCTAAAAGACAAGTGCCTGCCTACACTACAGAACATGTGTGGGGAGAGATGTTCATTTTTTTTCTCATTTGTTTGTTTTATTCCACTCACATCCTTTATCGGAACAAGCTCAGAGCTGCAGGTGAAGGTAGACCACACCAGACCTTGAAATTCCATCCTGCAAGCCCTGCGCAGTGTTTCCTCACAGGTGATTACAATCTCTCTTTCACCAGTCATGTCTTGGCTCATTTCCCACACTTCTGCATAGAATGACCCGACGTTTGCTTTTATGTAAGGCTTATCTTTGCTCATTTTCATTTTACATTCTTTTGAAAGCATTAATCCAACATGTAGATTAAAATCAAATAGATTATTTTTTGTTACGTAGACATGTGCACAACATGTATCAAAAATATTTATAAAAGTACATTGTAGACAACCTTTGTCTTTAAATTTGTTTACTTAACCACGCACTTTACAACCTTGGTACATATTCATAAATGCACATACAGTCTACAAATATACCCTCCACTCACTCTGTGGTCACAGTCACAGCAGCGACCTTGACTGAAAGATCCATGTTGACAGTGTTATACGTTGGTATCTTTTGAATCGGTGAAGAAGTCTGCAGCGATTTTAATTTTGTGTAACTACAGAGCTGGATGTCTCATTTTGTTTAAGAAGGCCAAATTAATATTTTTATGACAAATAAACAATTTGTGTTTATAGCTGGATTTGGGCTTGGTATGTTTTTTAAGCATGAGCAATGAAACACACATGCACTTGTGCAGCTGTTAAACTTTCAGTCTGCACATAACCTCAGCGGTATTAAATTATGGATTCTGCTCATCTATAAGCTGGGCTCTGTTTCTTATCCTTGATTTTGAAAGAAGGTCATACATACCTCAGCTTTGCTAATCCTATCTGTCACGTATGACTAGCTTTGCCCAGACAACACTGTTTGAATGTCTATTAGAGGTGGTTTATGCTGTATTTTCACTTGATCTTCACTGTGCATTAAAATTCACAAAGCAGTGCAGTTGTGTATCAACCTATTATGTAAAATTGTAGAAGGGACTTAATGATGCAAATTACAAAGCCACTTCCCCTGGTAATACTAATTTAACACCAATGAGCACATTATTCCTCGGATTTTTTTATCTGTATAACAATGTACTTATCCTTAAATGAGATGCTCATGAAAAATTGATATTTTTGAGAAGCATGTTCTGCATGCAGCTCTCTTTGCCATATTTTACTTTTTCATGCTCTCCTTGTTCTTGCTTTGACTGTAAAGGTGAGATATGTAGTTAAAGGAAAATGTATTTCTCATTACCGTTCTGGAAATAATACAACAGCTAAAGTATATTTAAACATTGGTTAAGTATTACAATGAAGCTCTAATGACATTGCAATGATCCAAGTCTAGCCAAAATGCAGGGTGCCACTAAGTACTCATCAGTTCAATCTCATTTAATTAACTCATAAAAGTCTGTGAATTAGGTGAATTTAAATTATTTTTAAATCTGAAAGTTCTCAAACAAGTCTTTATTGCTCCGATTCAATCAAACCCTACTTATGTGTTGGTTAAAAGAGTTTTTAAAGATACTTTGATAGTAATATTCATCTTCATTTCATTCCATATTTAAACAAAATAAATTGTAAAGATATTCCAAATATAGCTGACAATACTCCTATGCTCAGCTGTATTTATCACACTGTGATTGATTAAAGAATCACAAAGATATAAAAACATCTAAACGCAAAATGAAAGTGAACTGAAGTTATGTTTCTTGATCTTTACATGAGCTCCCCCTTGACAGCAAGAGGAATGATCAATCTCTGCATTGTATATACTGTAAACGTGACCTCTGTTTGACTGGGTATCCTTTCAACTGGCACTGCACTGTTTTCGGTTAGTGAAGGGCCGATAAATGGGTTAGCTGTTGAGAATATTGTACAGGTGTGTGTAGCACCAACATCATGTCAGTAAAAATGTATGCAAAAGTAAATGATCTTTTGAACTGCAGGTTAGTATACTCTGGGTATTTGTAGTGTGAGTATAACTGGTATGTGCACTTACGCAAATATTGTTGCAATTCACTTTTCACAAATTAACAAAAAAAGCCTCACAAAGTTACATAGGAAATGAGTCCTGAGCAGCCCTAAAAAACATCCAGATGTGTATCGACTGCATATGAGTAGGTTTTCTGCAACAACCAATTTAAGTAATTTAGTCTCTTTACAATTTAGCAATTAAAAACTGCAAACTTACATTAAAGATGTTAAAATTCTTAGAAATACAATTAATGAGGATAGATCAAAAAAATCTGAAAGATTTTACAGCTGAGACACAACAGATTCTCTTCTAACACTAAAAACATATTTAAAAACGCACCAACTCACTTAAAGCTGCCAGTCTTTCTCCTTCGACTTGGACACTGCGACAAGACACAGGCTTAACTTGTCTCTGACCTGAAAGTAACATCGAAATTGAGAATTAAACTATAATACAACAATATAATAAACAATAATACAATTATATAATACATCTTGAATAGGTTTATTGTAATGATTAATTTGTCTTTAAATATTCTAAATTTGCTATTAATTATTTATTCTCCTCATCATAAGTTTATCACTCTTTGCATCAGTATACTCTATATACTGTATGACCTATGTTGATTCCTGATAACAGCTAGTGAACAGACCTTCAGGCAACAAATGGCAAAATTGCATTACAACAATATATTTGAATAAGTCCCACTATTTTTTCATTTATTGTAATCTAGCACTCTTATACAGTAAATATCCAGTAATCACTTTTTTTGGTTTATACGTTTGATGCTTAATTAAATGTTTTAAATTCTGAAGGGTGACCTGTTTCCCAAACGCACTGCGATTATAAACTCATGTGACTCCCATCTGAAGAGTTTGGCATGACTTCACCCAGATGCTTGCTGTCGTGTGTGTTTCTCCGGGTGGTTTCGGTATTCGACTGCAGCAAAACACCGTTCGTGGCCAAACGCTGCAGCTGCAGATGCGAGGATTGTATGAAGTTTGTGTAACTCTAGATATTCTCCGCGGTGACTTACATTTGATATCCAAATTGCATTTTTAGATAATTACTAGTAGTAATCGCTCCTACGGGACACACACGTCTAACGAAAACCAAGGATCTCTTCGCCGTTGCTTCACAATGCTGAGCACAGAAACTTACACTGGTTGGAAAAACACCTGAAACGTAGAGCAGTTCCATTAACTTAAACCCAATCATGTGATTTTATTCGTTGAACAGTAGATACAGCATAATGTCTTTCATAAATAATGTGTTCCCCCTGCTAAACGTGGACAAAACGACGCTCTCAAGAACCCCTGGAGAAGGCTTCGACCCCCACACACGACCCTAATATCCCACAAGGCATTTTTATTTTGTTGTTTTTAAATGAGCATTTACATGGTTTCCTCACCTTTGCGCTTGGGGCAGTGTGTGACGGGTTCTGAAAGGGTTTCCATCAATACTTTTGTTTTGTTACCCTCCCACCCCCGAAACAATATATTTCGGATACCGTTAGTCAACGGTTAAAGATCGAAATCGCTCTCCTATACGTCAAATCTTGGTAGAAGCGCCCTTAGTCCAGGGTAGTACATACCTACTGGAAAATATTTGGATTTCTGATTAGGTGCCCCCCAATTACGCACCCCCTTTTAAAATCAAAATGATTTTTTGGAGGGGGTAATTTCAAAACGTCTAATGAAAGGTCAGTCTGCGGTGTCTCTGCCGGTGAAGTCCTCTGTAAGACAAATGGAGCTCCTGAGGTTTCGGTGGACCTGCTGTGCAGAGCAGGGCGCCAGCGCTCTGGAGCAGCAGCAGCAGAGGAGAGGTATTGTTAAAAATGTTTGGCTCTTTTCGGTAGCTATCTGTTGTGTCGTTAAGGTTAAAACAACGCAATGCATCTATTCCTAGCAGGGTTTCCTGGACAGGACAGCTCTCTGGTGGTTTCTTCATCATCACACGTCTTCGTTACTTTCAAGCAAATCATTTAATTTTGATTCAACAGGTAAATATTTAATTTACTAGCTTACATTAAATTGTAAGATGAGCGTGGTGGTGGTGTAATTTCTCTTTTGTTTATATTTGCAGTGTATCAGGATTAAATTACGGTAAAGCGAAGGGCTATTTTTAGTGCTGCAATTTTAAAGACAAAACATCTGGCTTCAAAATTTAATATTGTTATTGGTGCAGTATTTATTATCATAGCCCAAATCTGGCTGTGGTTTTTGAATGCAGACCTAGAGTATCTATAAATAATTTAACTATAAAATCATGTAACGTATATTATTTTGAAGTGGTGTATTTGCATGTACAAGTCTTAGGCTGGTTCGTGGATTTTATGAAGAGGTGTGTATTTTCGTTAACGAAGAAAGATGATTTAATGTAGACTTTTTAAGAAAAATGTTTTAAAATAATTCTTCTGTTATTTTGATAATTTTAAATATCCAGAAAATAGTTGTATAGCACTATTTACCAGAGGTAGTAATGCATGTTGTTGCTTTGATTCGTGTCACCGATTTCTTTAAAAGAATGAAGCTATGCATTTCCGTTTATTTTGAATCTAAATCTTATTTTTAAAATTTAAACAATTTCTGAGTTTGAGGGAACAGAAATATAGTATGAGGCTAAAATAACTGTATTACGGTCATTAACATATTTCTTGTTACTGTAATACCATTATGTCATAGGCTCTTCACTATGCATTTTTGCAGTTTGAGAATTAAAAGGTGTAACAGACTAGTCAACAGTTTAAATTAATAGGCCCATGATATTGTCTAACAAATTAGTGCCACTTGATATAAGTATATTATGATTTGAAATATTATTTCAAGAGGGTAGTAGAATGGACTGAAGTTGTTGGTCTGGTTCTGTGTGACAACAGCACCTCATATTTAAATACTGCTTCACAAGCCAACAGCAATTTCATTCGATTGTCCACTAGTCAGTTTTGTAGTCAGAAAACTAGCTGTTCAGGAATACCGTAATCAACACAAAACAGTAAGATCTGATGGCTGCTATTCTCTTTTTAGTATTTTCAGAGCACACAAGCTTCTGATCACTCAGGAGAGTTTAAAAGTTTAACTGCATGCAGGCCATCTTGAGCTTGTTCCGTGTGATGGTGGGGTAAGGGGACTGAGCTCATAACAAGCATTATTTTGAGTTCCTAATATTGTGAGGACCCCCTAGAGAAGTCTGTGACCAGATAGTTGCTTTTCTTTTTCAATGGTGATCACGTTGTCTGAAGAAATATTCTTATGAATGATTTAAAATGGCTTATGATGCAGGTTATATCACCTGGAATATCCTTGGTACAGTATGTCATTTCCGGATTCATGTTAATATATTAGGAGTTGCTTCCAGAAATTGGAGAACTGCAGAATGTACATGTTCAAGTTTGTCTCACTAGGATTCATCAGGTCTGCCGTGTAGGATCTGAAGTCCCATGGGTTTTATAGACAGCTTTCATTGCCAACCGATTAAACCCTATAAAACGTTTTTTGTACAACTAAACGTCCCTTAACAAGCAACCGGATGAGCTAGATGGGTCAAATGAGCTTGGAACACTTCAGTATATTCCTCAGTAAATAAGGAGATAGCTTAGTGAAAACCAGGACTGGCATGTCATTCAGAAACTGCTTCTTCTTCGTTGTAAGGATGTTGTTTGTGCTGACCTGTGCACCTCCAGTGCGGTCATGTTGTGCCAATACAGCACTTAGAATTGAGGTGGATTCTTCTGAAGAATCTTTCCACAATAATAAAGTCTAAGGGTTTCCTGTTATTAAGGAAGTAGAACCCGTAAGGCTTTAGTACTTATTTTTATTAGGTTTATTTGGCAGCCTGCATTGATCAGTGATATCTATAGTGATGAGTTTGGGTGGATCCTGTGTTAGAAGTGGTTGAGAACTGAGTTTTTTATTTGACAACCTTAAAGCACTTGGAAATCAAAGAATGCAAAGATTTTCCCTAAACCAGTATGATTAAGAAATGTTCTCATTAGATTTAAAGATTCTGGATATTTACCAATAAATATTATGTGCTTACTTTTCCAGTGTCCCCGTTGTTTCTAAATAAAATATATTTTATTTCCCATGATTACAAATTCTGGTTCATTTCTAATATGAAGCACAACAGGGTATATGGTGGAAATCCCAGTTTGCAGCTTAAAAAGAGGTTGAAAACAACCCCACAGACTTTTCAGGTATTATAGATTTATCGTATCGGCATGATTTTAGATTATTTTAGCCGAAACCAATAGAAAATGCTGCTATTAATTGCCAATATTTAATAAGGTGGTTAACAGTACCTGTTGATATTCATTTTCTTTTTTCTAAATATGTATTTCTTGCATTTTTTTCCCCAAATATTTTTTTTTTTAGAATGAATCTTTTTTTAATATGGATTTTGCCTTTTGGGCTATTACATTTTTTTAAATTTATGTCTTGTTACCAAAGCTTAGTATACATACAGACTGAAAAATATTTATTGATCCCGTGATATGTGCAGAACAGTGCTGTAGCCGCGCTGGTGACAAGCGAACGGGCTGCTTGTTATTGCTGGATGCCAGAGAGAGTCAGTCAGCCCTTATCCTACCTCTTCCCCGATGACCTACCCACAGGAAAAAGGGAAATGTAGTTTTAACAGCTGACTTTTATATGGAGAACTAAAGGAAGTGGATTTTTTCTGTTTGGCCCAGCGCCACATTTTTTAAGAACTAATAGAACTGACAATCGACCTTTAAGTGTTGGTAATATATGCTTGTTTATATTTCACAATAGGAATAAAAATATGTTTTACAGTATTAAACATAAAATGAACAATGCTACATAATTCCTAATGCAAGAAATTGTATAGGGCTAATAAAGTGATGTTGTGATGTTATGTTGTTACTGCAGTCGGTATATAAATACACATTATATGGTGTCAGGCTGGCCTGTTTTTCATGGGTTTTGAGTACCTGCAAAACAACTGTTAGGGCTGCGAATCTCTCTGTTGGTGGCATATTAAACACATTTGTGTGATATAGTTTGTCAAAGGAGGTGCAGAAGTCCGCAGTTCTGGGTGTGATGATAGGGCAGGGGAAGTGCTTGAGGGCTGAAGGCTGGTTGTTTCTATAGATGCTGAAGTGTAATGCAGTGTCTCAGGCGAGCAGAATAATACCCAGTACCAGGCTGGGTGAGAGTCGTGCGATGTACAGTACGAGCTGAGCCAGTATGAAGCAGAACCCAGCTCCTTGGAAATCCGAGTCAGGAGAGTCTTCAAAGGGGATCTGGTCGGTATGAATGCAGTTATTGCTGCCAGAGCTGACATGGAAAGGGTTCCTGATTGTAGATTTTGGTGCTGAAATTTCAGAAAGCATGCAAGTCTTGCAAAAAGTAATAACGTGTCTGTAAACAATAGGCTGATAAATGAGTGCAGTAAAGGGCCTCTTAGCTGCAGTGTAACTGTCATTTTGGGAAAGAATGTGAAAAATGCAAATAATACATGGTTTTAATGAAGACTTTATTGCACATATATAGGATTTAAACAGTGTGCCTGTGTTGCTGATGAAAGACGGTAGTTTGTTTTGTGATGTAGAGAGACGTTTTGCAGATCTCACTCATCAGTATGAATTTAGAATTTCATCAGGGAGCGGGGCGCTATAAAAAAGGTGTGTGCTTTGGCGTGGACCTGTTGGTGCAGGTAATGATGAATTTTGTATGATCTGTCACATCTGCATTACAAAATGAGTTTGTTTTTTTGGGGGGGTGGGGGGAGTCTGTGACGAGACCCTTGTGTGGCTCAGTCGACTGAAATCCAGGTGAATTTTCCTGCCTCGTCTCCATGATCCGCTAGTTCGGTCGTATGCTGTGAGATCTGAGGGGCGCTCGTCGACGCCTGGGCTGGTACAGCTTGCTGGTTTGTTACCAGAATGGCCGTTTCCCCCTAAATTTTCCTCTTTCCGTGTGCGGAAGCCCAGTATGGCACAGCACATACAGTAGGCTCCTTCTCCTTGTGTGTTTTCCCAGGCAGCGCTCGAGGTTTTGAGCGCTGGTGGCGCTGGTGAGCTCCGCCTGCTCTTCTCGTACACACACCGACAGAGCCAGAGTAAGTGAGAGAGCGCGCTGTGGGGAGGTGGAGGAGGACGGATTGTTTTCTTTGTTATTTTTAAACTCTTGCAACTCGTCCCCATGACACGATTCACAAAGGGCTGCAAACGCCGGGATTCCCGATGCACTCGAAAAAGGGCAGCAGGCTTTCACGGGTAAAGTGATAAACTTTTTTTTTTATTGCCAGCAGCCCGGGGTGTAGGATTGCGGTAAGCCAGGGATGAAATGTGCCCTCGCTTTGCCGTGTTTGAATCAAACTCGAGCCCGAGCGGGTTTTCGTGCCGGGGCCGTGCGGGTCTGAGCGGCCGGGGGTGGGGATCGGGGGGCTGTCCGCGCCGGTGGGCGACCCCGGCCGGGCCGGCGCTGCGCGGCCGCGAATAATCTCCTGAAGTTGTGTGCAAGTCGGTCGGCTGGGGAAGAGGGCCTGGCTGTGTGTGGAGTTTGGTGCTGCCTCCCTTCCCCCACCGGCCTCTGCTGCCGAGACTCGCAGAGGCCAAGACGTGCGCTCAGTGTGGAGCCGCACTTCAAAGCGCCCGGCGGGGGGGCGGGCACGCTGCGCAGACCCCCTGCACAAGCCCGGGCTCCGCTAAAATGTGTCGGCCTGCTCCTGAACGCGTTATTTTTTGTGATTATTTTTTTACGCGGCGTAGCTGCGGGTACGTGGTTACACAGTTTTCAGACTGATATCGTATCACAGAGCCGGTCTGTGTGTGTCAGGGGGAGGGAGATCAAAGAGCGTGCGTGAGGGAGAGCCGTATCGCGGAGTTTTGGCGGAGCAGGTAACTTCGGGGGGCAAAGGCAAAAAAAAAAAGTATTCTCCATTTTTAACGTGTGTTGTGAAATGTCGAAACATAACGCCTCTTGGTTGTCTGTAGTTGCCGCGGTTCACGAAGGAGAATGAAGTCACTCGGAAGTGAAACGCTTCTGTCGCTTGTATGTTTTTTTTCTCCCCCCAAAATGACGTGCGGTGGGCTTTGCGTTCGCTCACAATTTCACTTTATTCTGGAGAGAGCCGCGTTTTAGACATTGCAGCAGCTCGCACAGCTGCACTTCAGATGAAATACAGTGTGCTCAACCTTTTCATTTAAGACCGTTTTTATCAGCGTTGCAGGAGGAAAGTGGGGGCAACGGCAGTTTAGGTAGAGACGCATAAAGACAGGGGTTCCACCTAAAGCATTTTGCACGGATAGTCGTGGAATCGAAATTGTACCTCTGTTCTGGCAGTGACACATGAAAAGAGCACGTTGTTGGACAATGTGTGCCTGAGGTGGGCAGGTTGTAAACCGAGTGCTTTAACTGTACAATTGATGTGTTTTCAACTTTGGAACTGTGAATAAAATGCTTGTACTTCCTGGTCTAATAGTTGTGGAAAGCAGTTCTGTTGGCCAGTATTATTTCCACCATCGATGGACGTTTTATTTCAGAATGTATTTTGTGACTGAATAAATTGGGAGTCTCTTAAGAAAGCAGTGCATTCATTTTTAGACACATCTACCTCAAACATTAAGCAATACAATATACGCAAGCCCTTTAAAATGCTTTCTGGAGAGCTCTTATACAGGCTTCAAGGAAGAGCTAAGCATGGTTTTACCTTGCACAGTTGGACATCAAATGTAAAAATGCTGTGTGTTGATTAATCAAATTGTGAAATAATGTGTATAATTGGCATACCTTCAGAGCAGTGAGCAGATCTGTTTCTCATTTTGTCAAATGTGGGATTTGCAGAGCATTTGTCCTCTGCTCAGGGTCTGCATGCCTCTTACGTGTATCTCTGGGTTTCCCATCACAGGCCCTGCCTGTTATATATTGTTTGGTAGCGCAGTGATTAGTTTGTCAAAATATGATGTTTGTGCCCGATGGCAAAGTTGATTGGATTGGTTTCAGTTCAATATGCTAAAATTAAACAAACGCAGTTCTGAAAGTAAGAAGAAATTAAATGTTGATGTAGATGGTTTTTAAAGGACATGGGTATTTACACTACAGTGTTTATTCATGCTTTTGATGTACAAATATAAAATCAATATTGAACAGAGAATTAACTCATTCATCAAAGCAAGTCAGTAAAAATTATATTCAGGACAGAAAATGGTACAGTTTTTGGGTGGCACCCTATTCTCTCATGATCACATTTCTCAGTGTATGCTTTTAAACTTTATGAATAAATATCACGCCACCAGTTAGTTAACTGGCTGAAATAAATATTTCAGAACTTATTGTGAAGAGGAGAACTTTGTACCTCTTGGTTCTGTGATTAATCAGTAGATTCATCAAACATACCGGTAAAGCTCCCATTAGTGTTCAGACCGAGGACTGATTGATTGATGCTCGAGTCTTAATACAGACACAGCTTAAATTAAAGACAGTCTGCAAAGATCTTGATTAGTTCCTTTGGCTGTTTATATAGAGCTCAATAGCATAACAGGTAAATGACACTAGCCATGCAGTGTATTCGTCTTCTGGCCTGTATGTGTGTATATAGGTGTACAACTGCTTGGTCTTGAGTACCTTCCAAGCCTTCCTGTGTCAGGAACTACTTAATATTCATACCCACAATTCACAGCGACAGCCTGGTCTTTAAAGAACCTTCCTAACCCCGGTGGGTTCAGCTTTTAACATGTATAGATATGTGCACTGAGCACTAGCAGGAGCTTTCTCCAGGACAGAATTGTTAACACACTCTGTGGGAAGATCAGGGTAACAGTGCTGCACTTGAGCATTCCAGGAAGAGAAAGTTCTTCTAGTAAAAGGACATGTTCAGGGTGATCCTATTGGAAAATTCAGCTCTCCGTTGTCGTATCTATAGGCCTGTGCACCGCACCTTTCATGCGTCATGTAGCTCTTATTAATATTGAACCTCAGAGCTTGTGCCTCTGCTACAGGGTCCCTAGCTGGCAGAAGAGTACCTGGATTCCGAGCTGCTGCAAAGCTTTCTTCAGCAAGGGAATGAAATATTTTAGGCCAGGTCACATCGGCGAGTGTGCCCACAAGCCTCACAGTCCAGGCGCATAACGCTTTTCTAACCTCAGAAGTGTACATGCTTGCAGTGGGTCCTGTTTGTGTAGACCAAATCACGTTCAGAACTCAAGCTGGTTTAATGACCTCTTGTAAACCTTAGGGTTTGCAGTGAGCTCAGAAATGGTGTTTTTCTTCCAAAACGCCTTTTACATTATTTCAGAAACATTCACAGAAAGTGATTAACATTGCAGTAACGAGACAGGCTTTAAACTCCACGAGCAATACAGGGGTGACTTCAATTTAGAATTATTTATCTAAAACCTTTTTTTATAAAATCAATTACATTTCTGTGTTGTCTGAGTGTAAGATTGTTTGACATCTTTGAATTGTATACACTTGTTAGAGAATAAAGATTGGCAGGATACACATCCTCCACTCTATAAAATTGTACGATGTCAGAGTACGTGGATATGTCCTGTTGAAGGCTTTTATTTGCTGAAATGTTGACAGTACCCAGTAAATCGTTATGGAATGTAACAGTTGCATCCTGCTCAATTTATTACAATGATTGGTTTCTGTTGGACAATAACCTCTGGTATGCATTTTCCTCTCTTTCCTGAAATATACATATATTAGGAATGGACAGGAGAGAAATATTTCTGGATGGAAATGCCTTCTGGATTTTGAAATAATTAATGTTGGCAGTATAACATTTGACATACAGAGACCTGGGGTTTGTAGATTTAGTAGATGGTGCCGTGGTCAGCCTTAGCTGGTTCCTTTCAGCTGGAGGAGGCAGTTTGCTGAGTGATTAATGTTTCACCTCTGTTGTGAAGTCCCTATCCAGTTGGCATTCTAGTTCCTAGAGACGTTCAAGGAGAACTCAAAGCTTTCTGTATGTTAGATGGAATGGACTTTTGCATGGAAATGCAGAGCATAATTGTCTGTGGTCAAAAGATGGCAGAAACCTTGAGCACAGAAGTTTGACAACTGGTCTATTTTGCTGTCGTTTTTTTACAAACATGAGGTGAACAACCGCCACCTTCTCTGAAGATGGGACATGTTGAAATCTGTGACAAAAGTGACAAAACTTTTGAGAAAACAGGGATGTACTTTTCCCAGAAAGAGGTGCATCTTCAAGGCAGATACCACTTTGTTCAGCTCAATTGTGCAAGGAGAGGGCAGGATCGTCCGGGACTGGGGTTTGATTCTGCTTTCCTGATGTAGACTGGGAAAAAATGGGTAAGTCTGCAAATGCTAATAAACTGCTTTACTAATGTTCATTTTTCTTTTTTTTTCCCAGGAGGAATTCTTTGGCAGCAGTACTTGTAGAAGTCTGGATTTAATTGTGATCAAATTTGGGCTTTACTGGGACTGGGTGAAGAGCCGCCGTCAGAATGAGTGTGAGAGAGAAGAGGTTCCCCGTGGACGTAGGGGGCAGCTTTACTGAGGACGCTCCGAGGCCCCCCGTCCCGGGGGAGGAGGGCGAGCTGGTGGCCAGCGATGTCCGGCAGTACAGCCACAGCTTCTACTCCGCCAAGGCCGAGGGCGTCAAGAGCGAGGGCTCCACCGCCACGCCCACGCCGCGCAGGCCCGACCTGGACCTGGGCTACGAGCCCGAGGGCAGCGCCTCGCCCACGCCGCCCTACCTGAAGTGGGCAGAGTCGCTCCACTCGCTCCTGGACGACCAAGATGGGATTCACCTCTTCCGCACCTTCCTGAAGCAGGAGGACTGCGCGGACCTGCTGGACTTCTGGTTCGCCTGCAGCGGCTTCCGCAAGCTGGAGACCAGCGAGGGCAACGAAGAGAAGAAGCTGAAGCTGGCCAAGGCCATCTACAAGAAGTACATCCTGGACAGCAACGGCATCGTGTCGCGGCAGATCAAGCCTGCCACCAAGAGCTTCATCAAGGACTGCGTGGTGAGGCTGCACATCGATCCCGCCATGTTCGACCAGGCCCAGACTGAGATCCAGACCATGATGGAGGAGAACACCTACCCGGTGTTCCTCAAGTCCGACATCTATTTGGAATACACAAGGACAGGGGGGGAGAGCCCCAAGCTGTACAGTGACCAGAGCTCCGTGTCTGGGAACGGCAAGGTCCTGCCTGGATATTTACCCACCTTGAACGAGGACGAGGAATGGAAATGCGACCAGGAGCCGGAAGAGCAGCAGGAGAGTGACCCGACCCCGACCAGCCGGCTGACGCAGAAGCTGCTGATGGAGACGGCCCCCCAGCGGGCCGTCACGAGCCGGCGCTACCAGGACAGCACCGAGTACAGGTACGGTGGATCGGAGAAACCTCGCTTCTCAAACCCCTCCGGGTCTGTGCCGGTCTCGGGGTGCAAGGAAGGAATCAGAAATTCAGCTCTGACTGAAGACTTGTGCTGTGTGGGCTAGAGCTCAGCTGACTGTGGGGAAGAATACACTATAGCTTTTAGAAGCTGTTTTTAAACATGATATGCATCAGAATCATTAATCAATAAGGCGTCCCCACTATATATATATTTACATGGTGCTTTACAAAAGTATCCATCCTCTTCCGGAGTGTCTCTTTGGGTTAAATTACAGCTGATGTACGTATTAAAAAAGATGAGTATTTTAAAGCAGTCTGCTCAAACTGAAGAATTTAATTGTTAAAATAATTCGCTGGTCGCTGTTTGCAGTGTTTTTCTAGACACTGTCTATATTACTCTTTTCATCACAATCTGTAGCAAAGATGATCTCGGGATGTAAACGTAGTAGCAGTAGGGCGCGTTATTGTTTTTCAATGAGGAAATTAGTCTTGTTACATGTCTTGCTATATAAATGACAAACATCTGAATATTTTATAAACAAAAGTTGAAGTGAATGGCATTATTTTATATTTCCTAGTTTGCTGAATCTATAAATACAGCCTAGATGTCTAGAAACAGGAATATGATTTACAAATGGCTTTTACCTGTGCGAAACAGTTTTGCTGTTTGCTATTGGCATTCCAGCAGCAGAGTGGTGGAGGGCTGGAGAATGTCACCCCGGTTTCTTGGGGTGCTGTGATTGACAGTCATCCACTAAACATAGGTGTCCTGCCTAATGCCCACGCAACTCCTATTGAGAACTAACAGAGTGAGAAAACATTTGACTTGTCAGTTTGCGTCTTGCGAGTGAGCCTGAGGTGTGTGTGTTTGGACCAGACACGGAGGCGCAGGCTGTTAGGATTCAGGGCCCTGCTGGTTGTACCTGTGACGTCACGGACTGCAGCGGTTCCCAGCCGCGCCGCTGGGAAGTGTCTGTGCTTCCGTGTCTTCCAGCCGTTTATAAGTTTGGTCCCTCTGTTTCCTGCGGGATGTGTATTTATATAACATCTGTGTACGTTCACAGTGTCTTCCGGAAGTGTTCGCCCCCTTCTGAACAGTTACTGTTGCAACCCAGTTTTCTAATGCGGTCAGTTTTTTCACTCGATTGACACGGCATATGTAACAGTTTAAAGGGGCAGTGTCCCCTGTGATGGACTGGTGTCCTGTCCAGGGTGTGAGAGTGTGTGTGTGTCCTGTGATGGACTGGTGTCCTGTCCAGGGTGTGAGAGTGTGTGTGT